GGGTCGGGCGGGTGTCGGAGCCCGTGAACTTCATCTGCGCCAGGTTGTGGATGAAGAAGTTGAGCTTGGTGGCCACGCTGCCCAGGCTGGACTCGATCAACCTGCAAGGAAAGCACCGCACGCTCAGTCGGTGTGCCAAGCCGGAGCCGGTGCCTCCGTCCGAGGGCTCCCTTCATCCTCTCCTCTCCCATCACCTCGCCATGTCCCCTACCTGGTGAAGTAGGTGGTGGCATCGGCATCAGAGTCCTGTGGCCTCAGGGCATCGTAGACGTATTTGAGGTCCTCCAGGTCGGAGAGCTCGGGGATGCCACAGGACAGCATCTGGGAGGCAAGGCAGGGGGTGAGGGCAGGCGGCAGCAGGAGGACTCCTCCGCTGTGCCCGGGGGGGACGGGTGTGTGGCCCCCTCCCCGGCTCTCACCAGCCCCAGCAGGTTGACGAAGAGGTGGGTGTGCTTGCGGATCAGGTTGTAGGCCTGGCAGCACAGGTCGACGAAGTCGTGGAAGCGGGCTGGAGGGCTTGTCCCCGCCGTTGATGACGTACGCCATGTCCGAAGTGAAGACGAACGGTGCCCGGTCCCTGCACCGGGGAGGGAGGGACAGAATGTGAGTACGGCCGCGGGTCACCCACCACGGGGACAAGGAGAAGGGGCTTCGCCACGAATTCGCCCTGCGGGGATGAGCCCAGGCAAGGCGGAAGGAGATGCCGGAGCCGTTCCTGACCTCTTGATGTTACCGAACATCTGTGCATGGCCCAGGAACCTGCCGAAGTCAATGTGGAACATGTGGCCAGTGGTCTTGAGCATGATGTTGTCGTTGTGCCGGTCGCAGATCCCCAGCACGTAGGTGGCCACGCAGCAGCCGGCGCAGGAGTAGATGAAGTTTTCCACAGCCTGGAAGGAGGGAAGGAGCAACCAGGCGTGGAGAAAGGATGGACACGTTGGGAAGTGAGGGATCTTGACCTCAGAGAGGAGGGCATGAGGAGCGGGGACCCTGCCAGGCTCCTCCTCACCTTCTCGTACTCATCCTCCTCGGGGTTGTGTTTCTGCAGCCAGTCTGCCAGCGGCCGGTCTTTGAAGGAGCCCGTCACGCCGTGCTCCACCTGGATTTTGCGTAGGGTCTCGGCGTTGGGGATCATCTCCACCATGCCTGGCAGCCAAGACAGCAGGGTGAGACCCCACCATCCCACCTGGGAGGCACCGACACCCCAGTCCCCGTTTGCCAGCCGCTCCCCAGCCATCTATCTCACTGTTGAGTGGCAGCCTGCAAAGCCACGTTCCTACAGACGGGCTGGTGGGATCAGACCCAAAGGTGGATCACAGCTCTCTAGCAGAGCCCCAGGACCTCCAGTGCTGTCACCAACCCGAGAGCATCGCGACCTGGAGCCCGATGCTGCTGGGGGACGCCCCAATGCCGGGTTACCTCGTCCGCGGCCGGTGGAGAAGCAGCGGAAGATGACCATGCGCATGTCCAGCCCCTCCTGCACCCAGATCTTGTTCATGATCCGGATCATCTGCAGCGTCAGCATGTCCTGCCGCAGGTCATCACCGCACTGCGAGCCGGTGGGGAAGAGCCATCAGACCCGGCGGGGGGCAGCAGGGGCAAAGCTGAGCCAACCCCATGTGGGCTGGGACAGCCGTGCCAGGGCTTTGGGCACCGCTGGGAGGACGGGCTCACCTTGAAGATGACTCGGATGTTTTCCCCAAGGGGATCCACATTCTGGAAGGAGAGCTTCAAGGGGACGGCGTTGGAGTTGAAATAGGAGCAGTCCTGCCGG